GTTGGTGATGTCCTGGTGGCTGCGGGCGTCATAGCCTACCTAGGGCCCTTCACGTCTGTCTACCGAGACGAGTGCATTAGGGAGTGGCTGCAGCTTTGCACGGATTATAAGATAACCTGTTCCAGCACATTTACCCTCACACAGTGTCTGGGCGATCCAGTGAAGATACAGGCCTGGAATATCTTCGGACTGCCTCGAGATGCTTTCTCCATTGACAACAGCGTGATTGTTGCCAGTGCTAGACGATGGTATGAAGTAGACATGTCCAGCAAATAACTAAGTTACAGCTGTTGCCTTTTATATTATGTGTTGAAATGCTATTTACGTGCAGTCATGAGGGGAAAACTGAGGTCTGTACACTCCTTTCCAACTACTTTGCGGTAAGCTCGGCAGGTGGAACTTCACATTGTCTTCAAATGTTCTGCAAAGCACTCGAGTCCACTCTCTCCGCGATGGATTCAGCCTGCCCACCATGGCTGAATTCTGGGATCGTAGTCTTATTACTTATGGCCCCTACCTTGTTGATGACTTCCATGTTTGTAAACTGGACTAAGCAGTGGATGTTTGGGATCTACAGTAGATCGCGTATCTCATGAAATGTGTTTTCGATTTGAGGATTGAAATATTCATTATCTTGCAGTGTAACCCTAAGATATCTCAGTCAAGTCAAGATGCCGGACGTTGAAAGAGCTTCTTTCTGACTACTTACAAAAGGCATATTCTCTAAGAATGGCCGCTTAAGTTGTATGCATTTTTCGCATTGATTTTTAACTCCCTTATAGGTTCAAAGGCTACAAATGGAGTTGATCGGCTACCTTAGACATCCCTAGCCCCAGGATTATGTCTTACGGACCAGGTATTAATAGAGGTTTAATGGGTGGATGATATCAGGCGAAGGATGAAATTTTCAAAATAAAAAGAGCAGCCTATAAATACAGAACATTATAGGAATACTTATACAGAAACCTCGTGTTTGGCGTGCGATAATAAAAACGCGAAATAAAATCAATAGGAAACAAGAACTGCGCAATAGCACCCACGAATTGGGTACACGCCTATATCGGATTCATATCGGAATGTAGAGCTTAATGTAAAACGATGAGCGATAGGTCTTTCCTTAGTTTAAAAAGATGCACAATAGCTTCTAATGCTTTTGGATAGATAAGGTCGTACGATAAACCGAAATTCAACCGCATTTAGCTTAAAAATCTAAATTGAATTGAACATTAAACCAACTAAAACCCTACTTAAACTTTAATTCACGAACTACATAAAAAAATTAGATACTAAACTAAACTAAACCTATTAAAACTAAAAGTAACAGCAAGAAACCAAAGAGTTCCGTGTTGGTGGGCGCAGTAGGAAGCATAACTACGCCTACTAAAATGCAACTAGTAGATATTTAAGTATAGTTGTCTAAAGTGGCCGAGCGAATAAATTCTTGCCAATTAAAATATATTTTATTTGAAAAAACGTGCACAAAATATTATTTTATATACTCGTTGATTTACAAACCACCTCTTCTTCAAATATTCTTCTTGAAGAAAAGATATCTTTTGGTTTGAAAAAAGTTTTTGTTATTAGATTACACTATATATCTAAGAGGGCCAATATGAGTGTCACTGCATACAGCCTGTTACACGCAGGCTGTTGTCTGCTCTGTGATTGTTATTAGGGAACATAGGCGACGAAATGGTGCGAAATACATATTCTTCTCTGACGCCAAAGAAAGGTGACTTTTTCAAAATCACGGTAGGGATCACTTGTATGACCCCCTAAACAGGACACTTCTGGAAGGGCGAATATTTCTTCTTTGTAACCCTGACAATAGCCCTAACGGATACCTAAACCGTGGCCTCAATCTTTATTCCCCCTCCCAGTAGGTCAGTGAACCCCAACCCTAAGCCCAAACGTAAACCTTATTTATCCTAACGTCAACATTAATCCTAACCATAGACTGACCCCTACTTTCTCTGGAGTTTCTTCCTTATGCATATGCATTACCAAAATCATGACTGCCAATCGATTGAAACCGAAACATAATCATAAAGATCAGTGTGGTTCTGCAATGAAAAATCCCATTGGAAATTGCTACAACAAATAATTATACCTTTTTCTGTACGTCAAAACTTCTTAGGACTTAGGGTTAGTCACCCAGATGCGCATAAACGTTTATATTTCTATTTATGCAATAAAAGTTGGCTTGTGAATAAACCTGCTCCGTTTTATTTCATCGTAGGCCTTTGATGATCGATCCCCAAGGACAAGCTAATAAGTGGATTAAAAATATGGAGAAAGAGGCCGGCATTGTGGTCGTTAAGCTGACTGACTCGGACTACATGCGGAAGATGGAAAACAGCATTCAATTTGGCATTCCAGTTCTACTGGAAAACGTTGCAGAGGAACTGGATCCCGTCTTGGAGCCGTTGCTCCTTAGACAGACTTTTAAACAAGGTAAATGGATGCATCTTATTGTCCCTTGCCATGAATGTAATTTTTCCCTGTTTCTAAAAATAAGATATGCCTTAAGTGATAAAGGGAAAAACTGAATACGTTTATTCCACCCCGAGTCTCCGGATATTTTTATTTTTCTTACTCTAGGTGGTGTGGACATGATAAAACTAGGAGAGAACACCATTGAGTACTCCAAGGACTTCCGATTTTATATTACAACGAAACTACGCAACCCGCATTATCTTCCTGAAGTGGCTGTCAAGGTCTCCCTCTTGAACTTCATGATCACTCCAGAAGGTTTGGAGGATCAGTTGCTTGGTATTCTGGTAGCAAAGGAGAAGTAAGATTTTTTTCAAATTCCTTTATATCAGTTATTTTGTTGTGTTGACGTAAGCTTTGTTGAAATCCTTAAAAAGAATATATAAAAATGCATTAGTATGCGTGGGGATTTTAGTTTCAGATATCATATCAGGTTCATCATCCTCCGAAGAGGAAGAGGAAGAGGGGTAAGTTCATGGGCCGAAATGTATTTTGACTGGCCCTT